GCAGTCGTGGCGGACAAACACAAACAACAAGTAAAGTCTTGGCTCGCTCTCATTGGGAGGCTGTTCAACTAGACTGACGAAGTTGAGTATCGACACAAACAATAAGAGGACGAGCTTCCCTTCTACTACCGAAAAGAGGAGTTTACCACCGCCTACATATTCCACTCACTCTATCCTCTTTGATCCTATTCCAAGGCGATGGATTCTATTTCACTATCCTTGTCTAGAAGGCGATTCGGTAGCACTGAATTACTATAATAAGGTAAAAGATCAAAGAAGTCTCTCCGATCGATCCCATTCCTAGACTTCGTACTAAGCCCTGTTGCCTTACCCCTAATCAAGCTTGCTTTCAGCCGAGATCGCCCTTCAGTAGTTGCCCTCCTCGCCCCATTCAATAGAAAGTTGACTTACACGCCTTACTTGATAGGAGGCTTCAGGGAAAGAGATCCGAGAGTTTTGACAGTAGTGGGAAGAGTTTGAATACTTTCCGCTCATCTCCCGCCTTCGACTTGAAAGTGAGAGGCTTTTCGCTCCTCTCCTGCTTGGAAGCTCTCTTTTAGTCGGAGAAGTGCGACCTGTCGACCGTTAGGGAGACTACCGTCGACCGACCTGAGGAGGGAGACTACCGCCCCTGAGGGGCTTGTTGCTAGATGCATCCCCTCAAATGAGATTTCTAAACTCTACAACCGCTCCGGTTTGAGCAATAAGAGCCCGCCTTCTGGGTCCTATAGTCTAGTTACTAGCTTCAAAGGAACTACTAAAAGAAGGAGTCAAGGCATCGGAGAGTGCTACCTACGAGTGAGTAACCCGCCTGGTTACCTGTCCTTATGAAGGAAGGTGCGCATGAAAGTCTTTACGGAAGACCATCAAATTACTGATTAGGAAGGTCTTTAAGGAATGAACTTCTATTACAGGGATTCTTTTATTAAGACCTTTCGGGTAGATAGCCCTATTTAATGAAGGTTGAACACCAACCCGCCTGGAAAGCTAAGAGTCGGCAAAGACCTAGTTGTCGAGGAATAAAAGAAGTCGCTTTCTAAGAGAAGGGGTACGAGGAAGTCAAGTCACAGGCAAGCTACCAACAGGCTAAGAGCTATCTCCCAACCTCTCCCTTATTGACAAAATGAGAGGGATTTCAAGCAATTAGCATATAACAATTCCTGCCCTAGAAGATCGCATTTCTGACTTGAGCACCGTCTTTAGGCATTTCAGTTCTCAGGATCTTACGAAGAAAGGCTAAAGATTGTACTGAACACAACCCTATTATATGAGTGAAGGCGAGCCAGGAAAGTACCCTGAACTCATAGGGTGAAGGTGAGGAAGCTTTCAAAATTTTAGGGGCTCCTCTAAACAAGAGTTTTGACTAGGTAGATTTTCCCTTCTATGCCATTTTAGGTGAGTTCGGACTCAATCATTGACCGAAGATTGGGACAGAGCAGATGGCAACTAGCTGACTTCTTCCTGTCACTCGTACAGATCTGATTGAAGATACTGCATTAGAAAGGGATACAAAGTAACTTCCGAAGATTGAAAGAGAGGCAATCCCAGTTCGATACTGGTCTTGTTGCACTTCTTCGAGTTAATGACGGATAGCCCGCTAGGGACTGCTTGTCTTGTTAGCGAGAAAGCGCATAAAAGAATGCCATTTCTCGATCGAGAAAATAGGCTCAAGTACATTAGTCCGTCACTGCCATTTTGACTAGGTGGATTTTGCCTACTAGTTGACTTCTGCGGAATACCTTAGTTAGAGCAGTGAAACCTTTAAGGCAAGAGATGCGGGCAAGTCAGTCGCTAGAACTCCCATATGCTAATAACTCAGTAGAAGGGGGTAGAAAGCCTGTTCTTTTGGTACAAATCCTCTTTCTTGAATGAAACTAGCTAGTTGTCTTTGAAGTCAAGTAGTTAGCCAGAAAGGCAAGTCCATCGCGGGCACTACCCGACTTATTTCGGTATTGCATATAAGTACAAGTTTAGTTGTGGCCATCTAGACAAGTGAAACGGTCCTTGCTGTTGAAGTTTACTACTGGATAGGAATTCCATCACTATGGCATTAGAACTGCTCGGAGAAGTTCGATATTGAAGGTATACAGTTTGATAGATCGGTATTGAAGGGAGATATTCAATCCTCTTTCTATTTCATGGTATTTCACTGCCTTTCATGTACAAGTATTGCAACTGAGATTGAGAGACAAGGGACATCCCATTGAACTTGCCTTGATTGAATGAAGGCTAGCTGACTTCGATACTGAATGAACTCGCATGCTGGAGAACCGATGAGAGACATAGTCGATGCCAATATAGCTATAATTTCACACTGAAGCTTTTCCCTTCGAAGAGTTGATCTTTCATTTCAAAAGTGGTCTCTCCCCAATGGAGAAATGATGCTAGCCCTTTTTCCTTCGATGACAGAGATTGAAATGGATAAAGTGGATTCTCCCTAATGGTGAAATGAGACTGATTTCAGTGATTGAACTGATGGCAACTAGCGAGCAATCTTTCTCAATAGGAGCTTTCCATCTTAAAAGCCTTCCTTGAGGATCAAGACAGGAGCTAGCCTCTTATCTTAAAGGCGATCAATTTCCTCCTTGAGGATCAAGGAAGATCAGAGATCACACTGGAAAGCTATCAACTAACCTGTAAGAAGACTCTTTCTTTGGGCTTCTTCTTAGTTCGTTAGGTAGTTACCTAGAGCTATTAATAGACTGAAAGGGGAAGAACGACCAGTCTTCCTAGCGATGTACAATTCTTTTGGTATATGAAATCTCGATGTCTAGGTCAATTCAATATCAAACAGAAAGGGAGCAATTCTTTTGGCACAGTCTTTTGGTATATACAATTGAGAAGCCAAAGTCATATAGAAGGGCTTGCCTTCCGCACTTTCGTATACCAAATACGAATTGAGAAGTAAATTTGTACAAAAGTACATTGTTCCATCAGTCAATCAAATTTCTCCTATACATTTTGAACGTGATTTCGTACCAACTAAACCTAAGCCAATAGAGCATCTTGCCTTCGCAATATCGAAGGAGAAATGTTGTCAATGCTTTCATAGATGCCATACAACCATCCCTTCCCCTCCTAGTCCAAGAAGAGCTTCCCCTCCTTCCAGGCCCTAAAAACCTTGCTTCCTAAGCATACTGATAAAGAATTAGCAGAGTCGTCTCCCTCCTCCTAAAAGAGAGAAGCGGGCTAACCCAAGAGAGATACCAGCCATAATTGCTCTTAAGGTTAGTTAATGGCTTTCAAGGGCTGAGGGGCATTAGCCACTCTCCTGCTCGTACCTCGCTAACAACCGTCAACAACCAGTGTTGCAACAACTCCTAAATCAATAGGGCCATAAAGACTAGTCCTACTTGCCCTAGAGATTAGTTAATAGCTTCAAAGACCGGCAGTAAGTCATACAACCTAGCTCTCCTTACTTGATAGGGGGTCGGATGGAAGGTCTAGTAAACTAGCTGAGTCATTCGAGAGGCTTCAAACTTGGCTAAGCCTTCACATAAGCGGGACTGCTTGCATGTCCATCATTAGATTTGCGAGGTAGTGGATGGAGTGCTTCCTCTCCTTAACAGTTGAGCTCTTTCTTTCGTCTCAAGGAGCATGAGCGGAACGGAACGGTATCAAGTCTATTAGTCGGAGAGGTCGTACCATCGAGCGAGTTGGGGAGCTCGACTAAAGCCGACCTGAGGGAGGCCTACAACCGTCGGTCTAGAAAGCTAGTAGCTCGAATCTAGGACTAGGAAGGGAAGGCAACGACCTAAGTTCAGGGTATGTTGGTTTTGAAGTTATATATTGAAGTTTCGTAGTGAGATATTTCAGTTAGGTAGTGCTCCCTCTCGAATACCAGACTGGGAGTGGGAGATTTACATCCTTTCAATCTTGGCTAAGAGGACTATTCAAATCCTGGTGAAGTAAAGGACTATGAGAATTCTCAAGTCGATGTGAATATAGGGCCATTTTGATGCGGGAATTGTGCGAAATGAGACTTTCAGGGAGATAAGGCAGGGAAGCCATTAATGGTATTTCATTCGAAGTGGTGTATTTCAAGTTGGAGAGTTAGGGAATTCAATCTTGGTATTGAAAGTGCGGAATCGTATTGCCGAAGTGGGCTATTTGGATAGGAATGAAATAGGTTTTAGAAGGTACAAGTATTGAAAGAAATCCTGTTTACAATGAGTTCTCAATCGCAAGGTCCTACCCGAGTTACAGAATGTTGCTGTCGGCAAAGAAGTCTTACCAAGGATAGCCACGACTTTCATTGAAAAAGGATAGGCTACTCGCTGAGCGCCCTAATCAATAAGGATAGGTTTCGATGTGGAGTATTTGCTATATGGTATGGTACAAAGTAAGTTTCTAATTATTCGTGTGGGGAATGAACGCAAACCGCTTCAAGGAAACGGGCTATATCACAACTTTCACTTTAGGAATGCCTTTAAGGCTAGCTCTCTCCTTTGGTACTCAATTGGGTATATTCCGTAGTGAGATAAGGAATTCAATCGTATATGGTATTGTACAAATACAATATGGCAGGATTGACTAGCGGGATGGTTTCAAAAGAAGGATTTCTTGCGGTATCGGTACTCAATAGGGAACTTAAGGGATAGGAATGTACTTTGAGATCTCAATTCTATTGCATTAGAAAGTGGGGAATTCAATCGGTATGGTCGAAGGCAATCAACTGCCTGACTTCTGTAGATTCGAAGTGAGATTGACTGAATTCAGTTTGACTGAGAGTGAGCAAAAGCATCTTGCCAATTGAAACTGCGATTAGTAAAATGATTTCCAGAATCTAGTTGGACTTAGAGTCCGATGCCTATCTTGTAAGTCTTTACAGAATGGACTTTGACTTATGAAAGTGTGGAATTTGGCAGGATTGAAGGTATTATGTAAAAATCCACTTTCTTGAATGAAGTGGACTGGGAAGGTAATGCGAATAGGATAGGTTTGCGAAAGACCGAGGTCTTGATTCTTCCTGTGCCTTTCTTTTTCATTCACAAGTTAGC